TTTATTTAAAAATATCAATTTTTAATTTTTTCTATTTAAGAATTAATTGGATGATAATACTAACATAACAAACAAATTTTTTAACCGGAATATTGAAAGTTAGCATCCTTAAATAAAAAAAATTAAAATTTGATATCTTTAAATAGAAAAAGTTAAAAGTTAATATTTTTATTTAAAAATTAACAAAATTAACATTTTTAAATAGAAAATGTGTAAAGTTAACATTCTTATTTATACATTTTCTTCTCATATCCAAGATTAGAAAGCAAGGTGGTTATCAAGCATTATGCAACAAAATTTCAATAAACTTGTCTGGTAAAAATGATTAGAAAGCAGTAGATTGTAATGTGATTAAGATTGATGGGCTCATATGAAGAAACTACAAAGGATGACGGAAATTCGACATGGGTATAGTGTCGACACATCAATTTGGTATCGACACCATATGTAAACATCCAAAACTCCGACATGGATGTAATGTTGACACATATTTTAGGGGTCAACACCATACGAAAGGTTACTCTACTCATATAATATGATGCCTTTTAAGTTATGATATTTATGAATTTGGGGTACCTCTTATACTTCGTTTATTAATAAATATTATTTTTTTCTGTTAAAAAAAAAAGTAGATGGTAATTAATGATGAACTCAAGTTATAGGCAAAGAAGCAGCAAGCACCAATATGCAGGGTTGACTAGCTCCCAGGTTCATTGCTTCCTGTCTTCTTCCTCCCATCTCCTCGTCCCCCACTAAAGGAAAAAGGCGTTGTTTATCAAGAAAAGGAGGATCTTAATTATAACTAAAAAGTGTATTTTTGCAGACAACAAAAACATGTTTTGTATTTCGTCCTGCGCTGACTGCAACATTAGCCCATGATTAGTTTGGTTCTTATAGGGGACGTGATAGGCCTCACAAAGTATGGGACTGAACTGTTTGTAGTTTGTGTACGGCAGATTGCAAAATACCAACCTTTAAATTATAATTACCATTACCATAAATAAATATAAGAGAAAAATAAAAATTAGGATGTACTAACATTTAAAATATAAGAATTTTCTATAAAATTATTAAAATATTTTCAATGAATCTTCTTTGTGTATATATATATGTTGATCATTAAGAGCATTTAACTCTTTCTATTATCATTTTTAATATTTTCATTGTCAGAATGTCTCAATTATCTTAAATATATAATAATAATAATAATAACAATAATAATTATAAAAGGCAATTTGATTAGGAAATCATATTAAAGGCAGAAAAATTCCAAGTCACTTCGCTCTACCTACTTGTTCGTTGGCCATATACACAAATTTCTTCTTCGCTCTACCTACTTGTTCATTGGCCATGTACACAAATTTCTTCTTCCCTCTTCCACAAATGCCTATAATCAACTCATTAAAGCAGAAAGCTCTTTCACTTTTTCCCATATTTGTACTAACTCTATCATTAACTTGAAGAAGAGCATAATTTCCTCTACCAAGGCTTGTGCTTTTGTACCTATATATTCCAGATTTGTGTGAACAGTTGATTTCAAAGTCACATCTCAAGATCAAGAATATCAAGATTGCCACAAAGACAATTCTTCCCTCCAAGGCATGAAAACATACAACTCTTTCGATGGAGAACTATTTAACAACCTAAAGTGAAGCCAAATGAGTTTCAATAATAGAGGACAAGTTAACATGTTCTACATACATACAAGTGAATTAAACTCAGCAATGGAGTTGGAAATCCATTCAAGATGTGGGAAGCGCTGTTCTTGAGTTTATCCATAGGACCATTTGATACAAAAGATTCTTAAGTAATGGATTTTTACATTCATCGAAAAAAAAAAAAGGTAATGGATTTTTACATTATGAAGCTTTTGAAGTTTGTTTCTATTGTGACACTAAAAGGAATTTCTATTGTTACTTATTTGATGTGGATGAAAAAAATGTTTCCGCAGGGGACCCTGAAAATTAAGACAGTCAAAGATGGAGGAATCAACTTCTACAGTTTGATGCATAGATTTGCTTGTCACGTAGGAAGCTGAGTTTGTTGCATAATTTGCTTGTAGTGTGACTCAATATGCTTCTTTAAGGAACAAATTAAATCATGAGACTAAATCTATGTGGATTTTCTTGTTTTGATTCGATTCTAGAACCAATTGGGACAAACTTGCGCCGATTGATTCTTGTTTTGCAATACGGCCCAAATTTCCAGACAGCAGACTCTGCGTACATATTGGTTACTGGACTGATACTAGCTGTATGCATTTTCCAAGAAGTGTTGCATCAATGATTGTACCAAATACAACGTTAGGCGTTAATGACTTTTCCCCGTGTGGCCAGTAGCCAGTAGGCGTTCCCATGACATACATAAACAGACGAATTTGAAGGTTCCCATGACTTAATCACTGTCACGCACAGAAGGAGCAGTTTACCCATTTTCGGTAGACTTCATGGTCATGGCTCATAAAATGAGGGTTCTAAACTCATAAACCGTATTTGGTTACCAATACTAGGAAGCAATTCTCGAGAAATTAATTAAACTGCATCAACAAATGGATCAACTCTTTGGTTAACATCAGTTGTGTAATTCAACTAGTCTTTCACACATCACTGCACATCTCTAAGGCGTCCAGGCATGGCAGCCATGTGCAGTGGACTGTCAGCGATTGCTCTCGTTGCTGCCAGTTCCAGGATTAGAGGATCGGCTTGGAGAACATTAAGCAGAGTGTCGACATCCCCATACCATCTTTGGCGGCAGAAACAATGAATTAGGACTCAAATTGTTATTAATATTATGTGAATAATTTTAATTAGATAATTAACAAATATAAAGTCAATTTCTATTTAATCTATGTAAATTAATTGTGAAAATGTGTAATTAATACGACACCCTTAATATATAAGTTAAGAAAACTCTTTTATTTAATTATAAATAAGAGTGAAAATAAAAAGATAAATCTTAATTATTGTAATAAATGAATTTCTTAATAATCATAAATAGATAAAGTTACACAACTAAATCCAATTGTATAGAGTACTTTTTAATAATCACTACTAATTATGTTCATTTTTCAGTAGATCTAGTGGACCTTTTAATTTTTTAGACATAAATTTTAAATAAGAATTTAACAATTTAAATAAACAAATTAATTCTAGAATTGGTGTAAGTTTCTCTTGTAGTAATTTTGCATCTTATCAATGTAGTGCTGTGGAGTCATCAACCTTAAATTTGGTTGGATTTTATCCCTCCTAACCACAGATTCTGCATAATATTTATACTAGATATCTCTTCTGCTGGTATGAGATAATGATTAATTAGGGCAAGAAACAAAAGACACCTCTCACATGCATTCAAAAAACATCTTAACTTTTTTTTCAAAACTTATTTAAAAATTATTTTATAAGTCTTTTTGAATTTTCCTCTAAAAATTTTTAAATTTGTAAGAAAAAAACATATTTTTTAAGAAAATTACATTTTAAACTGCACCAAGCACCCATTTAATTGTTCCAGCAATTACCAAGAAAGAAATTCGAATGTTCTTAACCCTAAAATTTTATACTTGGACGATAAGTTTGAGATCGGTGGGTTTTTTTAAAGTTCTCTTCCATCTTGCTTTATTTATTTATTTATTTATTCATTTATTTTTGACAAAAAAAATACAGTGTTAGGTTGGTATTTATTCGAGAAAAGTTGAGTTCGAAATTCAACCTGCGAACCAAAGTGCCTTCCACCCAAAGTTATAAACATTGTACTGACATGTGTACCGATTATGTTATTGGAACGGTACGTACCGGATACTGAAATTTTTCACGGATCGTTTTAGATTTATCGCTATAAATATATATTTTTATAAATTAAATATCAAAATTTAAAATAAGATAAGAGATGTTAATGTTTAAAACTATCATATTCATATAAATTGAAAACAAGTTTAAAATGATTATTTTTAGTCTCTCAACTTCTAATATATGTATATTTTTTGTTCATCCACTTTAAATTAAGGGATTAAAAATGTGTATATTTAGATAAATTTAATGAAATAATTGATAGAAGGACTAAAAGAAATATGAAGAATGAACTAAAAAAATATATAAAAAAATTAAAGAATAAAAATTATATAAAACATTAAAGTTGAGGATAAAAATAAAATTTATCATTTTTAAATTTGAATTGAGTTGTATCGGACAATTTTTGTGTATCAACTAATATATCGAAACTTAACCACAATCAATAAAATTTGATCAAAATAAAATTAAATCATATATTATTTTAATTTAATATAAAAATCAATACGTATCAAC